TATTTTTCTTTCAAACTGATTTTCAACTTCATTGAGATAAGTTTTAAAATTTTCAAAAGCATCACTTTTATTTTTCATCAATTAAACATATGTAAACTTAGAAAAATCGTCAATGAAAGTGATAAAATATCTATTACCTCCACGAGTTAGAATTTCACCAAGTTCACAAATAACAGTATGAACTAATTCTAACAAATCAGTTTTTTATTCAACTTGAAAATGTGGTCCTTAACTACTTATTATTCCAACATTAACGATCATTAATATGACGCAAAGGAGCATGCCCAAAATTGATAGAAGAAAGCATATAAACAGAATTAGAAGTTTTATTCATCTCACATTCAACTTAAACATCCCATCACATGCATACCCCTTCCTCACAAAAATACCCTTCTTCACTATTACATATTCATCAGATTCAATAATCTATTTAAAGCATGCCTTATTAAGAATAAAATTAGACATCAAATTTTTTCTCATGGAAGGAGTATAAAGTACATCTTTTAAAGTTAATACTCTTCTAGAAGTAAAACACAATTCAACATCTCTCTTTCCAAGCACTTGAGTAGTATGAGCATCACCAAGCATGATGATTTTGGGCTCCTCAAAATGAGTATATTTTTTAAACCAGTCTTTGTCATAACTACATGACGATTTGCACCAGAATCAGCACACCATCCATCAACATTCTCAACCATGTTTATGTCGGTAATTATCGCCATAAAAAGCTCTTCGGTAACGTTTGCCTAAGGGTTAGGACCATATTTCCAGAATTTGCAAAATCGAGCAATATGTCCACTCTTGCCACAAACAAAGCATGGTCCCTTTTCTTGAATTTGTTGATTTTGTGCTTGGTGATTTTCACCATTATTTTTCTTGGGAGGTCTACCATTATTTTTTTAAAAATTTTTTTCTTCTTAGGCTTTAAAAAAGTATTTTGTGAGTTTCAGGAGTAGCATTATTCGAAGTAATTTAATTTATCTTCGATGTGATTTCGTTCTCTTATGTTTGTAAAACTGCATCTTGGCCCCTTACTTCTTCTTCCATGCGGATTTTCATGATCAAGGTTTCAAGAGAGGTTTCCTTTTGTTTGTGGCGCATAGTTTTTTTGAAATTCCTTCCAAGAAGGTGGAAGTTTATCCACTATGCCACAAACAATAAGATTATGTCCAATTTTAACCTCTTCGGACCTAAGCTCTCCAACAATCATGATAAAGTCTTGAGCTTGATCTACCACTGATTTGTTGTCCACTATTTGGGAACGAAAAAATCTACTAGCTGTATATTTTTTTGCTTCAGGCTCTTCGATATCATACTTACTCTACAATTCCTTCCAAATTTTCTTTGCACTAGAGTAAGTTCTATCATAATAATCATTAAAATTATCAAATAGACAATAAAGAAGATAATACCGACACTTATAGGAATCACCATCATAATTTTCCATTTTCTCTAGATGAGAAATAGTTTGATCATCATTCATAGAAGTGATGTCTTCTTTATTAGGATTCTTCTCAGTAAACACATAAGAAACTTAAGAAGACTTAAGTAGAAAAATACTTTACTCTTCCATCTCTTAAAATGGTTACCATTGAACCGAAATGACTTGTTAAGATCTCCCATCTTGACATTCGCGGTTTTTTCGATTGTAGCCATCTTGAATCTCCTTAAAATTGTTAATCTTGACATCCGCGGTTTTTTCAATTGTAGCCATCTTGAATCTCCTTAAAATTGTTAGTGAAAAAACTTACAAGATAATAAAATTGCAAGATTACAATTGAAAATAAAATGAAGAAATAAATCTCTTCAGGCTGAGGTGCGGATATCTCGCTCTCTTTAAAGAGATTCAAGCCCACTGCAACAAATGTTTTCACCAGGCCAGCAGTAGTCCTCTTTGACTTGACCTCTCCAGGATACAATAGCCTTCACAAAATATAACTCAAGAACTCTGGACAAGAGTTGAGTGCAAAGCTCCACAAAAAAGAACACCTCCCTTCAACTAATAAGAAATCTCCTTTTTGACTAACTCTTTCACTCTATATTTTCTCTTGTATGTGTGGGTATAAACTAAAGGAAGACCACCACTATTTATACTACAAGAAGTCTTCCTAACAATGAATAGGAAGATAAATGGTATAGTAAATAGTGAAGATAATGACCTTAGGAGTTACATATGTTACAAAGAATAATGGAGGAATAAATAATGAAATAAAGGTGAGGGATAACCAATGCAAATGGTTAATGAAGAAGTTGTCAATTTCAACGTTCATTGGAACGTTTATTCTCAAAATGAATTCAGTCAATAAAGCCAAAAGTAAAGACATTACATAGCTACCAAAACTGCCCACCATTTGCTGAATGTTTCAGTACTGTTATTACTCTAATATAAAACAAATTAATATATTAAATATTAATATTAAAATGCTAACCAACATAAATATATTATAATTAAGAAGTTGCTATCAAATATATTTTTTATATTTAAGTTGTTACACTTTTAAAGATTAAATCTGACTGTTAATATTTTAATAAGTTAAAATAATATTTTAAAATTCACGCCCCGAGTCTATATTTTAGGTGTGGCTAGCTCTATATTGAGATTATAAACACTATGCATACAATTACAATTTAAATAGCTTTGTAAATAAGAAATATGGAAGTAGAGATGTTTGAAAAAGCAATTGAAATATTATCTAATTTTACTTAACTTATCTATGAAACATCTACTAAATTGAGGCTAGGTGTCTGGACAAGATTCGTAAATACCTAACTATTTTACTGAAAATAAATAACAATTAAGTAAATTTAGAACCCACCAAAAACAAAGAGGTTTCACCAAAATGTAATGGAAAGAAATCTTACTAAAGTGTCTGTTGATGATCACAAACACCTGAACCTGCATCATTTGAAGATGCAACATTAAATGATGTCGGTATATGAATATGCGATATGTAAAATAGTTAAATAAAATAACAAGCTAAATTAAATATATTGAAATGAAAAAAGTAAATATAAAGGTAGACGGTAAGATAACCAACAGAAAAGTAAAATATGCACATTTACTCTAATAATCAAGCTTAACAACTGAAAATGTATACAATAGTAGCAAATGTTGAAATTGATTAATACTTTTGTTGGGGAGTGTCTCTAACCGGCAACTATCACATGAGTCTATGATGATATAATGTCTTACTCATGTTTTCAGCGTCATCTTATACTTTGTCAGAATAAGGATAAGCTGAACCATGAATCCAATATCTTATTAGCCCTTATCAGGGCTTTCCGAATGATTTGTCCCAACCAACGACACGATCCAATCATGCTCTAGCGGCACAGTTATGAAATTTGAGTTATCAAAATTCTTATCCAACTCGATGCTCATTGGTATTTCCAAAATTATGTAATAATGCTCAATAATTGTAGATGTCCCAGTTAAGGAAAATGTTCCACTTTGCTAAGACTCTCTATGTTGAGTTAATACTCAAAAATGTTTCTTTGTAACTGACAGATGCTTTTAAAAATTATGCTTTATGCGAACTCACTTCACCTCCTCGAAATTAAAATATGCTCTCTTTACGGCTAATTATGTTTTTCTTTCCGAAAATAATGCATTTGAAACAAATACATGCTCTTGAAGCTCTTCCAAAATAATGCTTTAAAATTTGAAATTTAATTTACTCATGAAAACAATGCATAAGAAATCAATATGATAATGACTTCAATAACTCTTACCAACTAAAGGGTACAATGCATAAGAAATCAATATGATAATGGCTTCAATAACTTTTACCAACTAAAGGGTTTATGTAGCATATTAAGTATGAATCAACAATCAAAGATCATTAATAAAATGTGAAGAAATGAAATTTCTATATAACAAAGTTAAATTCTACAATAAGAATATAGAGTAAATTCGAAAATTATTGATCATAGAGTAAAAACCTTACTTTGATGTTACAGATTAAAACAAAAGATGTAGGACACGAGGAATGATTTACTTCCTCATAAATGACGATCTTACCTATCTTAACGTTTAATATATCCTGGCAAAGAATCCTAACATGAAAAAGAGTAATCAAGTAACATTTTCTTGAGATTCTTGAGCTCTCTTCTTGAAAATCTTGTGACCAAAGATTAAATTTTTTTATCAATAATTCATGAATAGATGGAGGAATTTGAGTTGGAAAGCTTGAATTCCACGAGAAAAGACTTAACTTTGGTGGACGAGGATGACAGGAAGAAACCAGTTTTAGGGCTCGAAAGAATGGTAAAAAATGAGGAAAATTGAGCTAAAATCGACTTAAATAATTTTCTATCATCCAACAACATTTCAACCGGTGAAACGGCTACACAACATTGTTCAAAGCCAAAAAACATATGTTCAAAATAGAAAATCTCTTAAATCTTACTCAACTAGTTCTAGACCGGCATTTTGTTGGTTTAGAATTGTTCATCGCCGACGAAACGCATCTTTAAAATAGAATATGTGATGAAAATAAAATGATAATAACTTTTGACTAAATCTGGATGGCGGTTGAAAGAACACTCATAAGTCTTTAACTTGATAAGTAATAGAACATCTAACTCTTCATATGCCGATAAATATGGTCATTTGACGTTAACTCTTGCCTGAACAGATGTGCAAACTTAGTCGGAAGGAAAACTATTAAAACTTAGTCTAAACCACTGTTGATTCACCTTTCACACTTAGGAATGGACTTTAAAACGCTTGTATACTTAATTATGACGAATGATTTATATCCTTAGAGTTGAATTACGAGGTGTTCGCAATCTCAAACAGTTAAGAATCCATCATTCAATTTTCACTAAATCATTAATCCATTATTTATAAATTAATATTATTTTTTCAATTTCAATTATTAATTTCGATTCAATTTTAAACCGTTTTTAAACAAGACTTATTTTTTCTTTTTTAGAAGTATCACTTTAATCATTTTCCTTTTGTACTTGTACATTTTTTCCATCGATAATAACAAGAGAAAAGGTAAAGAATCCAAATTATTCAGAAATGGCGTTACTTCACTTCACTTCACTATTTTTAAGGCCATAGAACTCATCGATTATCAGCTCTCTCTTCTGCAACTCAACGCCAATGGCTTCTCCCTCACTTTCAAAATCCAATTTCTCCCTTCACTCCTTCTCTTCTTCTCCATCCTTGTCACAGTTCCCTCATTTCACTTCCATCACCGTTGTTCAACCCAAATTCTTCCCTTCGCAGCTCACCTTCAAACGCTGTCAAAATGCTCCTTCTTTCCCGATTATCAGAGCCCAAAACTCTCCAGGTTTCAATTTTGCTTAAACCCCACTTCATAAGTTCACTTATTTAGTAACGGGTCAATGTTTTTTTCTTCTTTTGTTGCTTATAGAAGTAATGGGTCGGTTTTGTGTTTTCAGATTTCGTCCCTGATGCGAAGTTTTACAAAGTTGAAGCAATTCTAAGGTGATAGCATCATTTTTCTTTACTAATGTATTCTAATCTGCTTTCTATACTCTGTTTACTGATTCAATTTTGCGTCTTCTGCAAATTTTGGAATGGACTTAGACCTTGGAGAATTCAACAGGTTTCTTCGGTAAGAACTTGATTATTTTCATATGCATGCGCCAGTTTTTAGAAAAAAAAAATTGAATCTTTTCCTTTTGTGATCCTTAAGGTTGCAGGCCTATATGATTGCTTAAATTGAGGCTCTTTATTGAACTTTTTTGGGTTTCTTTTTACTCAACCCCTATTTTGCATTCTATGACATCATAGTAAAGCCTATATATTGTGGAAAATACTTTTACAGCACAGCTTTAATCTCAGTGGTGATCAAAGTTGTAAAGAGCCAAAGGGTTAATTGAAATGCTGCTAGCTTGCTCTACTGATAAGTTTGAATTTCACCTTGGTTCTTTCTTGTTATACAGTCTTATATCTCCATAGATCTTAATATGTGTATACCTTTTTCTTTGCTATATTGTCATATAATTACCCTATGGATAATCCTTTTGATAGGACAGTATTGAGTTGCTATTAAGCTTTCAGAAACAATTTCTTATTTTTTGATACTAAGAAGTATTGTCATGGATAAGTTGAAAAAAGTTTGAGGGTAAACGGACTTTAGATCAGGATGTCCTAATAATATCTAGCACGGAAGGCACACTAAGGGGTTCGATATATTGAATTTAGAGGTTGGAGTGAAATGAGGTAAAACGCCCCAGGCGTCATCCACACACATTCATACAAAAGAAAAAAAAATATTCCTCCTGAAACACTACAACATTTAACAATATGGTGAAGTGAAGCCCAGATTCTGTGATGACTATTGAACTCCATTTCACAACTAGATTGAAGGGAGCCATTTTCTGTAGATATTTCAAAACATCTAATGTTTGAAGCTAAAAGGCTCCATTATTTACTCATGTTTTCTGAATTATGAAGGCACTACTGAAAATGGGCATTCGTGGTGTCACTGTTTCGGATGTTCGTGGTTTTGGCGCCCAAGGTGGCTTGACTGAGAGGCAAGCTGGTATGGAAATATTCATCAATTTTAAGTGTTTATTTACATTGTCTTGAATATTTCTCGATTAAAAAGAGATTCTTCCTTGGGTTTTGAAGTTATCTGCTGCTTTCAGGCTCTGAATTCTCTGAAGACACGTTTGTTGCAAAAGTTAAAATGGAAATTGTTGTCAGCAAAGACCAGGTTTTGAATTTAATAGGCCTTGACCAAGCTTTCTGTGAGCTATCATTTAAAATCATGTGTTAGAAGTATATGATTATAGAAGTATATGGTTAAGGTGTCATTTATCTCTCCTATGTATATAGAAGTTTTATCTAAGTGGTGCTCCTTGCGATATGATTGTGCTTTTTAGATGTTAGTTCTGATATAACCTGTAATGCTGTCTTATTAGGTTGAAGGAGTCATTGCCAAGATAATTGAAGAGGCAAGAACTGGTGAAATAGGTGATGGAAAGATATTCTGTAAGTTTTTCTCTTCATGATCTTGGAGTTTTTGATGTAATATCTCTAACCAAGCTTGAAAGCATTCAGTTAATGTTTCCTCAATGAGTATGCTGTATATTTTCATATGATGATTCATGACATATCTTCTGTACAGGGTAAGGTGTAACACATAAATCATAATCTATTAATCTTTAATTTACTGTGTTGTTTCCAAGCAAATGTTTGCCTGAGTAATCTAAGTGTGTTGCACATGAAGTGGGAAAACCAATGCCAGCCAGCCTTTTAATACGTGCTTGCAATGACAATCCATATATGTATACGAGAAGAAACAAATAGAGATACTATCCCAAAATTTTAAAATAAGATAAAAAGCTGTAGGAATTTCAAACTTTTTGATCTTTTTACCTTCTATTTTATCAGACAAGAAAATCCATCAGTGACATTGTTCACAATAGTTTAATTGAAGCCCAAATTTGTTGAGCTCTCCTTTGCTTTGATGCTTATTTTCTTAAATATTTAAACGTCTTGTGAGAAAACATGATTCCAGTTCTAGCTTATAAAGATACATACATTTATAATTTATCGACACACACACACTCTTCAATGTTTTCCTCTCAAGGCCTTTTATTTTGTGAGTATGTTTCTCATGTTAGAAGCCTATCTTTGATCTTAATTTCATTTATTCTACCAAAATGTCGAGCCAAGCCTGGAGTGGATCATCACACAGGTTGTCTGATGCTACAAGAGCTTATTGTGTGCTCAAGTTAATGGCCATATTTGTATTAGCAAGTGGTTTGTTAATGGACATATTTTTTTCTTTAGTATTAAAACTAAAAAAGATACAGGTATGTATTCAGAAGAAATTTATTGAAGAGCATAAAACACAGTTTCCAGTGGTAATTAGTTCACATGTATGTATTTGGGAGGGATCCTTTACTTTTGGCCAAGCCTCTATTTTGCAAGGGATCTCTTGGGTAATATTAGCGCAATCACATTACATAGTTTTGATCTTGCTAACGTTTAAGCATGACATGTTTTTCCTTGCAAAGAAAATCTTAAACGAGTGAAAGAGACCCTGAAGTTTCAAAGTGGCTGTTAAAGTTGGGCCATCTATTGGCTGTTAAATGATGTGCTAGACATTATTGTCTTTATGAAAATATTACAAAATGTACTGAATTGTTGATGCTGTTTTTTTTAAAAACTTTGGCAGTGACTCCCATCTCCGATGTTATAAGAGTTCGCACTGGTAAGTAGAATGTTTTGCTTAATGATACTCCATTTGTATTTATAAGTTAGATAGTCTCCGTAGGTTGATTAATCATTTAAATTTCATATCCTTCATAGAGGTTTGAACTTGTCCCTTGTAATGATTCTATGGTATGCTGGAACAGGTGAACGGGGAGAAAAGGCAGAGAGGATGATGGGAGGGCATGCTGATATGTCCTCTGCATTATCAACTTCTTGAGCGGCAACGCCTCTATCTTGAAGTTGAAACGTTTAATCATCTTTAGTTGTGTGCAGTCAAGTAGGGAACAAAATAAATAAGTTGGAGACTTACCATGTACCTGTGGTTTCAGTAGCCAATTTCCATAAAAATCGTAGCTTAACAGCCATTTCGTATATGCACACTTCAGCTCAATCGTGGTAACTTTGCCCCCTCCCCCGTTTTGGGTGAAGTTGTGCTGTAATATGTTGGTCGATCACTGTGGATATTGAATGATAAGCTATTCAAGCAATTTCCTAAATGAGCCGTTCATATATATCAAATCTGTAACTTTAGCCTTTTTAGATCCCCATGTGTGTACTCTCATGTGCAATATATATTGAACCATTAATTCAGGCTGATGCCAAATTTCAGCAGCATTGGTCGCAGTGAGATATGCACTGCGCCCAGCTTCAGACATAGCTGCTGCAATAACCGCTCTGCGGTCACAGGATTCTGGTAGTCCAAAGACTCATCCTCATGAAACTCATCTCCCACCATTATTTTCCTTGTTACCAAAAAATATAGTCTCATTATTGGAAGCAATATAAAGTCTACGTTCACTTCACTTTCTTAGGTTCATTTGTGGAATTACACCGAGTAGGTATGTTTGTGTTGTTGTTACTTGATTCCTTTGTTATTATACCAAGCTTGTGCAAATCCACGTATCAATAGTGACAAAATGACCACTTCTAGTGCTGCAAAAGAATCAATCATATACAGACAGAGAATGAAGGTGGCTAAACTTGTAAGTACTAAGCTTATATGACACTATTAAAAGAATATCTTTTTTTTGTATTTTGGAAACTAATTTTAGTTTAAATTATCTATTTTATCCTAAAAAAAATACTTTTTATAATCAACAATCTTTCATGATATATTTTGAGATCAATCCAAATAAATAGTTAGTGACAAATAGAAAATAGTTGTATTACTTTCATCTCTGGTCATTTGATTCTCCGCCAAACCCACCATTTGTTGGAATTTTGAAAGCATCGTGTGCATTAAGAATCTTTGAATTCAAACATATAGTACACTATACATTTGCTAGTACGGATAAACACAGGTTGGATTTAGAATTTTATAATTTATCGATAATGGGTTATCGATTTAGTGGTTTTAGTAAAAGTATACTTTTTTTTTATTATCGGATTATTGATTCTTAATGGTATGAAATTTTTCCTTAACGGATCAATCAATATATTATTCGGTATATAAAGTACTTGATTTGCTTTTGTAGTTTTGCAAAAGATGCAATCTATTAACACGCGTGCATGGTTTATTTGGCTTTGTCATCTTATTTCTAAGTGATTTTTAATGATATTTTTTTATGTCAAATCTTAACAGTTAACTCAATAACTGAA